CCCCACCACCTTCAAACCCCCAACCCCCGCCCCCTCAACAACCCCAAGGCATGAAGAGCGCCCTCGCCACGCGCATCGCCGGCTCTGCTGACCTGTACCACAACCACGCCCGCAAGCCCTACCACGGCATCAACTTTGTGGTGGCCCACGACGGGTTCAGCCTGTACGACCTCGTCTCCTACAACCACAAACACAACGGGGTGGGCTGCGGGGAGATCTGAGTTTTGGGCAGCAGTGGGACGCACAGGGGCGCGCGGGGCCGGGGCGGCTGTGGGCTGGGCAGGGGGCTCGAGCAGGGGTGACGCCTGGTCGCTGGCAGGGCGCACGCGGAAGCGTCGAGACGAGAGCACAATTCGGGTGCACCACCCAGCACCCCAGCACCTGTTTGAACCCCATCACGGCCCGCCTTCCCGCCCCCTCCACCCCGTCACAACGTTGTTCCGCCCCCCGCTGCGGGCTCTTCCAACTCTCTCCTCTCCCCGATCCAGGCCAACGGCGAGGGCAACAACGACGGCTCCAACGACAACTTCAGCTGGAACTGCGGCGCCGAGGGCGAGGAGGGCGCGGGGCCGGGGGTGGTGGCGCTGCGGTTCCGGCAGATGCGGAACTTCATGTTGGTCCTGATGGCCAGCCAGGGGACGCCCATGATCGTCATGGGTGGGTTTGGACGCGCACGCACGTGCGTGGGCGTGAGCGTCGAATCCGGGCTTGTTTGGGTGTGCACTTTTCAAATGAAGTGTGCATCCACCTTTGCGCGTCCGTGTAGTGAGCGGGCCTTTTTGGGTGAGCCGTCCGGGGCTTGAGAAGTGCCTCCAGGATCCACAACCTGTTCTTTCTGGGTGGCCTCTTGAAGTACGCATGGTCGGGTCCCGTGTATGCTTCACCACCCTTGAGAGCAGCTTGAGGGCAGCTGCTCCTAGATTCCTGCAAATTGTCGGCAGGGCTCCCCAGTGCACCAGCTGCCACATCGCACACAGCCCAGGCCTTTCCTCCCACCTCAGCCTGCTTGAGCCTGACCAGCTTTCGCTGTTCTGCTCTGTCACCCGCGCCGTTATCCAATCCCCCGCGTGACAACTCAACGCGTTGTGCCGCGGCGCCGACCGACCCCCTGCCTCGCCCCGTTTGGTGCCCTGGGCAGGCGACGAGGTGGGGCAGACGCACTTCGGCAACAACAACTGGTACGGCCACGACGACAAGATCGGCCACATGCACTGGGACGCGGCGCAGCAGCCCGAGAGGGCGGCGTTCTTGAGGTTCAGCTCGGAGCTGATCCGCTTCCGCAAGGAGTGCCCGCTGCTGGGCCGCGCCGACTTCCTCAAGTGAGCAGATTTGACTGGTCAACTCGGTCAACATAATAGAAGACAAGGCTTGGATGCCTACCTGATCCGCATCGCCTGATCATGACAGCCACAAAGCAAGGCCCGGCCCCCTTGAGCCCATCCGCACATGCCGTGCCCCTTGCAACCCTGTGGGGCCTGTCGCCCGGGTGCAGCTTGGCGCGGCCGCACAAGCTTGTTGTCCCTTACACCCGTCCGCCCTGCCCGGGCCCGCAGGCCTGGGGACATCACCTGGCATGAGCACGACTGGGGCAACACCGAGTCTCGGTTCCTGGCCTGGACGCTGCACGACACGCTGGGGGCGGGTGGGTCGCCCTTGCGTGCGCGCGCGCGCGTGTGTGTGTGTGTGGATTTATGTGTGAGTGTGTGCGCACGTGTGTGCGCGCGCGTATGCATTTTGATGGGATGATAGGGAGCATTGCACAGATTTGGGAACGAAAGGGGTGTACGAGAGCCGGTGGATTGGCGGGGCGTTGAGCGGTTTTCGAGCAGGGGTGCGACATGGGCCTGCGGGGTCACAACGATATAGTACAGCACAACCCTGCGAAGCCCTGTCGCTGTTCTGCAACCTGTCTCGTCTCACCTTTCTTCCGAAAAGATGTGTAGAGGGCACTATGGCCTGGCGGGAGAGGGCATGCAAGAGGCCCCGCGCTTGTTCCTCTTGCCCTCCCTCCTCTCCGTCCCTTGGCCCTCTCCATGCCCAACATTTCCTCTCTAAAATCTCCCTACATCCCCTTCCCATTTCACCGGCGCCCGGATTCACCCCTGGTGCTCGCCAGCCACCTCCTACCGCCAACAGCCCCGGACCTGCTTCCCACAACGCCACACCGCCAAGCCCCACACCCCTCCCACTCACATGCGCCCCCGCCCTCGGATTTGCCCCCCAGGCTGCGGCGACCTCTACTTCGCATTCAACGCGCACCCCTTCGAGGTCAGAGCCACACTGCCCCCGCCGCCGCCCGGCCAAAAGTGGAGCCGCCTGGTGGACACCAACCTGCCCTCCCCCAAGGACTTCACCGTCGGCGGCAACGCGGGCGTCGAGCCGGAGTACGGGATCCAAGGTTACGGCGCCATCCTGCTGATCTCCAAGGCGGCGTGATCTTGGATTGGGATTTCGTGTGGTCAGGGCAGGGACGCATACGCAGGGGGGTGAGCGTTCTGGGGTCAAATCGGATATGTTGGTGCGCTGGCAATGACTGTTCTCTGCTGCTGCGCAGTGGCATGTTGAATGCGTTTTGAGTCTCTGTCGGCTCCCCATTTTGACAGCTGGCTAGCAGTGTCTTGAGGTGGTTAAAGCGTAGGTTTTCTTGTCAAACTTCCAGCACAGCAATCCAGGTTTGCTGCACCGCGTTTGCACCCTCTGTTCTGTTACGCTGCTGGCCCGCATGCAGGCGTTCCGCACCACACATGCCACCACTGTTGTGTTCCGGACCAACTCTGCTATTTCAACTTACAAGGCAACTTGCATGCTGCATTATAGTAACCTTATATGGGCGGCGTTGCGTCTTGCCGCTGCCAAAGCATTATGGACGAGGTCAACAGGTGACGATGGGGGGTAATTGACAAGACACTTTCTTAGGTAGGGCCAGCCTCCACACCACGACGAACTGCCTGAACTATATGCCACGCTTAGGCTCCCAGCCTTACAGAGCGCCGGCATCGGACGGCGTGCAATACAGTGGACGCGAGGCGGGGGGCGCCAGCTGCTAATGTACCCTCGCCTTCGCTCACTCAACGGCACTGATGGGTGGGCCAGCAGCACGCAGCAGCCTACAACTCAGCAGCCCCCCCGCTGAAATGCCATATTCACGGCTGCCGGCGCTGCGACGGCAGCGGGCCCGCTGTCGGCGCCGGCGAACTCCAGGCTGCGAGCAGGCTCATCACGGCTGCCGCGTGCAGGGCCTGCATGCGCGCTCCTCACAGCCCCGCGCGGCCGGTCATGCCACATGGCAAGGTTACGGGGTCACTCACGGCATGGAGATGGCAATCGGAACGACCGCTGGCATCCAGCCTCCTCGGGCAGCGGAGCGCTCACAGCGCACTCCGCTCATGTGCTCGGGGGCGTTGCAATGCAGGAGTCGCTGCGAATCTGGCTTTTTGAGGGGCGTCGGCTACGCGGCGTCCCCAGCAGAACTACGGTAGTGCATGCAGGTGTCCCGTGCCTGATGCACGGAACCAGGAGGGAAGAGGGAAGAAGGAAGAAGAGTTGCACAACGGCGGCCGAGTGGCGTTGGGGGTCAGCAGTGGCCTTGATGATCATAGCACTGTTGACCACCCCCTCCTTGGCCCCAGCCAGTGCTGTCAAAAAAGGCCTGCAGTCTGCTAGGGGCCCAACTGAGCCAGCTTGGACAGCCGTCTCTGCGCTGGAGCTCGACCGCTGGGCGTTTTACTTACGGCGGAACGCCTCGGGCATGACCCGCAATCGTTGTGGTCACGGACGAGGGTTTCACAAGGTAACGTGAAGTTCTTCTTCTGTGCAGTTTCGCCTTATTAATCATCCATCCGTGTCCCACCTCATCTTGCCGACCATGGAGGTCGTCAAAACACTCATCAGCAATTGGTCAGAGGCGGAAGCGGCCGTGTTCCTCGCTGCGTTCGCCCCGCCGGGCTGGCGTCCCAACCCTCCAATCACCGGTGCGTTTCTTCGCACCCTCGGCACAAAGACAGAGCTGGCAGATGTCGTGCCGGGCATCCAGGCCGCGCAGCGGGACGCCGCGTGGTGTGCGCTCCAGAACACATGCAGGGTCGAGGACGCCGCCAACGAGGCCGCCGCGCTGCGCCTGATGGAGGAAGACTGCCAGGTCGTGTCGGCCGGCGGGGCCCTCGCTGACGTGGCCGCGTGCTCAGACGCCCTGGCCGCGATCAGCCTGCAACGTGAAGAGCTGGGCCGCGCGCACTCGAGCCTTGCCGACGCCCGTGCTGCCGCGCTGCTCGCCGGCGACGCAGCTGCAGCGGCGGTACGAAGCAGAGCGGGCCCAGGTGCAAAGCGACAGGCAAGTCGCACTGCGCCTTGACAGCGGCCAAGACGAGCCAGGCGAGCAGGAAGCGCACGCACATGCACCCGCCGCAAGCCCCTCGGCATGCAAGTCCACCTTGCAGCCAGGCGGGGCTGCGGCCGCCGTCGATGCTGCAGGCCCCAGCACTAGCGGCGCGTGCGGGGCCGAGGCGCGGCAGATATCAGCGCTCGGTTTCGGCAAGCCGGCGCTGCGGCGCCAGGCGCTGTTCCGGCGCGGTCACCTGTCCTTCGTTATTGTCGCGCCGCGCGGCAAGGGCGACAGCGTGCTCGTCGGTTCGTTTCCGAAGGCCATGCACGACCCGAAGGGCAAACTGCCCATGGGCAAAGGCCCGCCGTCTGCAGAGCAGCAGGAGCGGTAAGGGTGGCCCAGCTGCTCGCTGCCGCCTATCTTGATCAGCAGCTACATGGTTGTTCTTCCAAAGCTCGCGTGTGCTTGCATCGTCCAATGCGGCTTCTCACATCGTCTGTTGCGCAAACTAAGCGAGTAACCCTTACCCACCCTTCCTTCCTACCTCCCCACATTGACGGCATTTCGCTTCCATGGCATCTTGTGGCGGCGTGCGCAGCCGCTGCGTCGCGTGCCTGGAAGACCCCCTGCACCACCCGGACGCCGCTGTGACCTTCCAGCTGCCGTGCGGCCACGACTTCTGCAACGGCTGCCTCAAGGCCCTCTTCCGCTCGGCTCCCTCAGACACCAGCCTCCTACCCGTCATGTGCTGTGGTGCGGGCCCTACGTTGCTGTTGAGCGCGCCTGTGTATTATATAACATGCAGGGTTCAGGACCGGCTGAAAATTGATTGGGAAGGGCGCCTGCAGGGCCATTTTGCGCACGCACGCTTTGTTAGCTATCAGGCAATTGTGATAGTCAGCACCTGTTTACGTCTTTGATCTGCACTGCCCTGCAGCCTGACTGTCACCACCAATGTCTGTTGGTCTTCCCACATCGACCAGGGCCTGGCGGAGCTGCTGCTGCGGCCGCAAGAGTACGAGGTGGGCTGGTGCTGGTGCTGCTGGCTCGTCAACCCAACTTTTGCATGGCCTGTCCCAGCGCATCGTCTCAAAGAGAGGGGGGTGTGACAAACATGCACCACAAGAACGTCGTCAGGGCCCAAGCCTCAAGAGCCCAGCAACTGTTGCAGGCAGGCAGCCACCGACGCAACACAAGCACATGTAAGGGACGCAGGTCGCACGCAACCATTCAACAACTGACGCTGCACAAGCATGCACGCCAACGCATGCAGGTGTTTCAGGCGCGGCTGGAGGAGCTGGAGTGCGCCGACAAGATGTACTGCCCCGAGGCCGCCTGCTCAAAGTTCATCAACCTGGAGAAGCTGCCGCGGCCCCTCGGGCGGCACGCCTGCGGCGGATGCGGCGCCGATGTTTGCACGGCGTGCAAGGCGCGGCTGCCGGCGTGCTCCTGCATGATGTGGCGCTAGAGTGCTCTGGCTTCTGCCAGGGCAGTACAGCAGCTGTTGACGAGTGTAGTGGAGCATGCTTCCGCGCAGGTCAATGACCAGGCAATGCAGTAACGTAACACCACAGGTCAGCCGTATCAACGTACCCAGCGCTCACCAGGGACGACTTACATCCTCTCCCCTGCCCACACGCACCCGTACACAGTCGGCCTGGCACTCCAGCTTCACATGCGAGCAGTACCAGAGCCTCCCGGAGGAGGCACGCCAGACCAGCGCTGACCTGGCGCTGGTGGAGGCGGCGGTGGCCCAGGGCTGGAAGCGCTGCCCGGAGTGCAGGTGCGGTAGCACGTTTGCTGGGCGGCTGGAGTGTGGCACATTAGGCTTCCCAGGCGCTGATTTCGAGCTTCCCCACGCGCCACTGTGCTCGCCCCCTGCCTCGTGTGGCAAATGTCGCATGGAAAGTCTCTGCATTCTTAACAGCGTCAATGTGCGCCCGCAACTTGCCGGCGGCGCATGGGCACCCCTGGTCGCCTTATGTCTCCGTCACTCACACATGCACACTTTTGAGCAATGCGCGTCCCTCCAAATCCGCCCCCAGGTTCTTTGTGTCCCTCAGCACTGGCTGCAACCACATCACCTGCCGCTGCGGCCACAAATTCTGCTACGTGTGCGGCGTGGAGTGGAAGGGCTGCAGCTGCGCGCGCTGGAGCGAGGACCATCTTCTGAACGAGGCGCAGCAACGCGTCAGGGTGCAGGTCGGTTTTTTAGTGGGCTGGCATTCGGACACTGGCAGCTGGGCAAGCGGAGCATAAGTGGCATTTCAGGGCGCAGGCCGATTAGCCGGCTGGCCGATGGGCATTGAAATAACGGCAGCTGCGCAGGCGCACCAGGATTAAATTGTCAGCGCAGAGGTTGACCGCCGGCAGGAGCCGGACAAACGCACAAAACACAGGCCTACCACGCAGATCGCAGCATACACCTTCTGCTGTTTGAAAGCCGCACAGCCGCACAGCCGCGCAGCCGCGCAGCCGCGCAGCCCCTCGTCCGAGCGCCCGTCTGCCTGCCGCCTTGCGCTCCGTCCCCTCCCCGTCGTCCTGCAGGAGGCCGACGGCGGGCGGCAGCTCGACCAAGACGAGTTCCAGGCTGCCCTCACACGCACAATGGGCTTTCTGCAGGACGATGATGAGGAGTGCCGCCCCCACAACTGGCGGTACCGCGCCCCCCCCCGTTGGCGGACTATTGCCAGCACTGCGAGAACTTTGAACTCTATTGGTACTGCTACTACTGTCGGGCCTGCCAGCTGGTGGTGTGCCAGACGTGCAGGTGGGTGGGTTGAGTTGTGATGGCGCAGGGTTGAATGGCGTAAATTGAGGTAGGGTAGTTCAGGGAAAGGGAGGGGTGAGATCGAAAGAGGCTTGGGGGTGCGTGTGGGACAAATGTGCAGGTGCCAATTTCAGTGGTGGTTGGGTTGGGTTTGTGTGGGCTGCTTTGGGCGTGGAGCCTGCATGCTGCAAGGCTGCCTGGAACCAAGGCATGGCTGCATGGGTATCGCACGGGCGACCAGCGGCGCCAGCTCCCTGCCATCCCGTCATCCGACTGCGCCGCCGGGTGTTCGCGGGTTCGCGGTGTTCGCGCGGCTTGGTCGCTGGATTGCCGTCTGCCAGTCTCAAGGGCCGTCCATCCCTCTTCGAAATGCCGCAGGTTCCACCGGATCCGCTGAAGGCAATGAGCCTCGACGGCCGCAAGAGTTGGCGCGCACCCAGGGGCGGGTGGTGACCGTGCCTGATCGCGATGGCCCCCCCATAATCGCGTAATCCTTACTGCTTCGTTCCGTGCTGCAGAGGTGGGGCACGTTGAGAAAATGCGGGATCCTCCGCTGTGCACTTGTTGTACTGCCTCGTTGGGCTGTCTTGTGTATACGCAATGCCCTGCCCAATCCAACAATCGAGCGCATCAGTTTTTACAGCAGCACAACACTGCCTAGGATGCCACAACACTGCCAGTCGTGATGAGCGGCGTTTCGCCACTCATGCCGTTGTAACTGGCCTTGGGAGGTTTCAAGCAGAGACGACCCACTACAAAGCGCTTGAGCCGATACATTGCGGCGTGTTTTTGGGGCGCAAGGGTGTGCGCGCGTGCGGAGGGTGCGTGGGGATGACATTCGATCCAACAACCTCGGACACATCGCAAACACCTGCTAACAACAGAGCATCTCACGAGCGCCGCTAAAGCAGCACTGCAGCCGACGCACCACTGCAGCCGCAGTCCGGCGAACAGGAAACAATAACGGCAGGCTGCCTGCCAGCACGCCTGCGAGCCCCTCCCCAGGAGCAGCCGACGCGGCTCCGACAGGGCGCGCCGACCTGGCCCCTTCCCTTGCATTTGCACAATAGACTAGAATGCAGAAGCATGCCGAGGGGCGCATGGAGTGCGGCGGGGCTGGCATCGCCCGGCCGGCAAGCTGCAGCTTTCACAGGCCGGCTGGCGGCTGGGGCGGCGGGCTGGCGGCTGGTGGGCTGGCGGCCTCTACTTGTTGCGGGCGACGCCCAGCGTGCGGAGGCGCAGGGCCTGCAGCTTGATGAAGCCGCCGGCGTCAGCCTGGTTGTACAGGCCCTGTGGTGCGTGGCGCAGGGGGTGGACAGCGGGGGCTGAGATGCCAGTTCTAGAGGGCGGGGAAGCCGGACGTACAGGGAAGATCACGGGCGGTGCTCACTCAAAGATGCCGCCGCGGACGACGATGGCGGCTGCAACCGCAACACGCGTGCGTGCGGAGACCGCGCCGGAGGCACCCTTCGGGACGCGCCGACCTCTGCTTCACCTTCAAACCGTGTCAGAGCACCCCAGGGACGCTGTCGCGCCTCACTACCGCCCATGCAGCCCTGCGATGGCCCCCAAAACACACACATATGTACACACACACACACACACACACCTGGTCGTCCTCGAAGGAGGCGATGACGGGGTCGTAGAGACTGTAGGGGCTCTTGCGGCCCACAACAGTCACGTTGCCCTTGTACAGCTTGGCGCGCACCTGGGAGGGGGGGGGTAACGTGATGCCAACGTGACGTCAGCATGACATCAGCACGGGGCGGGGGCGCGGGCAGCAGCAGCGTGGCGGCGACCCCAGGGATCCCCACCCTGGGGCGGCGGATGACGCTCGAGAGAACCACGCCTAAACATCAGTCATCACACACGACACACATACATATGACAAACACCGCTTCAACCTGTCTCGCTCACTTGCGCGCGCGCATACAGGCACACACACACACACACACACACACACACACACACACACACACACGCACACGTGCGTGCACGCACACACTCACTCTCTCCCGCCCCCCTCTCACTCCCTCCGTCCTTCTGCATTCTACCCCCCCTTACCCCAACCAGCCTCAGCCCCAAACAGCCCCCACCAGTCAACCAGGGCCCACCGTGCCGGTGACGAACTCCTGCGTCTTGTCAACCAGCTCCTGCAGCGCCAGCCTCTCCGGGCTGAACCAGAAGCCGTTGTACACCAGCTCAGCATACTTGGGCATGAGGTCATCCTTTTGCGGAGGGGGGTGGGGGATGGGGTTGAGGTTTAGGTTGGGGGCTGGTTGTTTGGGAAGGGAGAGTGGTTGAGTTTGGGATGGGGTTTATGCTGGGGAGAGGGTCGTCTTGAGAGAGGGGTGGGATGCTGTCTGAGGAGGGGGTGAGGTGTGCGTGTGTGTGTGCGCGAGGAGGATTGCTGCGATGAGGAGGAGGATGCTTGTTGTGTGAAAAAGAGGTCCCTGAAGGGGAGCGGGGGTTTGGATGCTTGCTTGCTGCACCCCTCAAGGCAGCCCGCCAGCTGGCCGGCTGCACCAAGAAACCCCCAAGCCTGCCGTAGTGCCTCTCCAAGCCTTGTATTGCGCCCGCCCCCGTCTTCCCCCCTGCTCTAACAGAAAAACACCACCTTGAGGTGCGCCTCCCCGCTGCCCCCTCAGTCGCATCCCCCACAAATTATGACATGACTCGCACATTC